GTTGGTTCGTTTTTTACAACTTTCAGGAAAGTTTTTTTTTTTTGTGGGGGGTGGAGCATTTTTTTTTCCAATAGTGGGTGGTTTTTTCTCAGCGGGAAGTGGAGTCCCCTCCAGGGGGGGGGGATTCCCCGTGAGTTTTTTCACCCTTTTTTTTTTACAGTAAAAGGGGGGGGTGGGTCCTTTTTTTTTTTAGCCTTTTTGTAAGGGGTAGAACAGGTTTTTCCTTTCCCCCTGTTAAACCCCGTTTTTTCCGGGCCCCCCCATGTTTTATGTTTTTCCTTCAGTACCCGGGGGGCGGGGGACATCCCGTACTTCCCCGCTTTCGTGGGGTTTTTTTTTTTCACCAGTTTCCCAGGTTTTTCCCCCCCCCCCCCCCCCCTCGCTAAAACCGTGTTTTGCCCGGCCGCACGGCATGCGTGCACAATCATGGCGCCGCCGGTGCTATACACGTCCCCCCGGCGTCCGCGGCAATGGGTCATATCATGCCAACCCCACGTCGCCTTTGTCCCGTAGCCAACTATTCCGGGTTTTTGTTGCTTTCCTCCGCGCAGGCGCCGGCTGGCGGGGGCAACCTACGCGACGTTCTCCGTGGAGAAGGCCGCCACGGGGCTCCTCCGGATCGTCTCCCGCCTCTTCTTCCGACCGGGCCTGGCCGCCCCGCTCTCCCGCGCCCTGCCGTGGCTGATTCCCCCGCATTGCGGCGGCGGCGGCAGCGGGGACGGTGGTGGTCCCGGACCCGAGCTGTTTTGCTCGCTCGCCGGACACGTGTCCTCGGCCATGCGGCGGCTCGCCCTGACGGCCATCCGCCGGCGGCGGCGGGGAGGGGGGGGGGGGGGAGGTCGGCGGCGGCGAGTGGCGGGCGGTGTTGTCGGTCGTGGAGGCGTGCGCCGGGGTTTCGGGCGGCAGGGGAGAGGCGGACACCTTCGAGGCGGTGTGCCTGCTCGTCCACAACCAGGACCTCAAGGTGAGCTGGAGAACGGGGGGCACAGGGGGGGAAGGTTAGGTTGCCAGAAACGGATTTTCTGATTTGTTTTTTCTGAAGTGTTCACCGTGGTTTTGTCGTGGGGTGGTGTACAAGGAGGAGAGGTGAGGAGGCAGGGTGTTCAACTCTCTCATGACGACGAGGTCGGTGTTTCCGGCAGGGAATAGTACGGAAAATGGCAGCGGGGATTGTCGCGGGCGTCCCTTGACCAGCTATGCGGGTACTCACACGATGTGACAAGCCGAGCGGCGTCTGGCCGTTTGACCGTGCCTTTCGCAGAGAGAACATCTGAAGGCTCCGGCCCGTCGACCGTCAGTACCGTTCCTGTCGCCTTTTTCCAAAGCGCTGAGTGGCAGACTCCGCAAGATTTCCTTTATTCCCCCCACTCACCCAAGCGACACGGCTGCTGTACGGTAGAAATAACCATGATACGTATCGTCCCCAACTTTTGAAGGTCGAAATGCATCCGATTGTTCCTGGGGGTGATGACGAGGAACCTTTTACCACTGCCAATGCAATGCAGCTTCGCCAACCACGACGAAGCCACTGAAACTGTCTTAGCGTTGACCCTACTCCCCACCGCCTATACCACACGGCCTTCTATCGTTCAGGAAATCCTGCCCGTGCAAGGCGTCGCGGCTTGTTTGTCCACCTTGATCCTCTGCGGTCGGCGACAGTCCACGGGAAAAGACGACACCAGCACTGGCAGCGGCAGCGGCAGCGGCAAGCACGCTCGGATGTTCGCCGGGGCGGCCTTAGACCTCCTCATGGTCCTTCACGCTAGGCTACCGTCCTCGTTCAAAACCACCACCACCTCCACCGGCGGCAGCAGCAGCAGCAGCAGCAGCAGCAGCAGCAGCCCGCGTGCGGCCGCGGCTAACAGAACCGCCGCGCTATCGAAACCAACGGCGGCGTCGGCGGCATTTGAAGCCGTGCAAGAAGAAGGTTCTACTGCGGCCTCCTCCGGACGGAGTTCCTCGGCGGGGGGGGCGGCAACGGCTAGTGGCGGTCGTGGTGCGCGTTGCGACGGTGGCTGCCGTCGGCCGCAAGGCGCCGCGCCAGGCTTGGTCGCCACGGGCGCGTGGATGATGATACTGAGGGCGCTTTCCCTGGGCGCGGGGAGCGAGGACGTGATGGTTGCGTCACACGCGCTGCAACTCCTTCCGAAGGTGTGTCGAGTCGACGAGCATCTGTTCTGTTGAACTCGTTTTTCTACAAGTGGAATGCCCTGCTCTGTGAAAACCAGCAGATAGATTATTGTCATGGAATGCGCTGAAGCAGCCACTAAGTATCGCGCAGTCACGCTGCCTGTTCGGTGCCGTGACATGTTTGGCGGAGAGGAGGTACTTGACGAAAAGAAAGAGCTGCGGTCTGCATGAGAAAAGTGGCGCGCCTGCCTCTTTTCCCTCCGTTGCAAATCGGTTTTGTTCTCGAAGCAGATTTGTGGGATGATGGCATATACCCGAAACCAACGTTGTGGTTCAAAAAACGAAACGTTTCGTCGCAATAAACACAAGGCTTGGTTCCAACAGTCGAGATCCATGAGTCCTGCCAGGTGTCCCCTCAACCGATACGGCGAAGAGGGTCTATACATGTGCTCGACAGTAGGTGTCTCCTGCAACACTCGAGCTGGGGTTCGATTTCGCTTGTTTTTTTCCAGCCACGGCACCGCAAGTCATCGCCTGTATCAATCTCAACCGTGAGTGGACGCCAGTGCCGGCTGGACGAAATCTTGCCGTCCCAAATATCACGACGCGGAAGAGGTACTAACGTGGTGGTGCATTCTCCTCGCGATCCCCCCCCCCCGCGCGCCGAATCATGTTGGTCATGCCAGGTGATGCTGGACGATCTTGCCGCGGAAGCGCCCCCCGATGTCTTGCAAGACGCCATGCTTTCCGTCGTCCTCCCCCTGGCGAGGCACGCCTGGCGCCGCGTAGCTCGGGACACGGCCTCGCGCGGGGAAACATCGCTGCGGCGGCAACAACAACAACAACAACAACAACAACAGCAACAGCAACAGCAACCGCTGCCGCCACCGCCGTCTCAAGGGAGAAGAGAAAGTGCCGACCAGCGGCATCGCGGTAGTGCTGTTGGCGGAACGGCGGCGGTGTCGGAGACGGCCCAAGAAGACGACGGTTTCGAGATGGTGGAGGCTCCCGACGAGGGCGGACACACGACGCCGCCTGCCCACGGTGGTGGTGCAGCGGGCTCGTCATCGGCACCGCCGGAGCTCTACCGCGAGTCTTCCGGGGGCCGGGGCCGGGGACGCGGCGGCGGCGGCGGCGGAGAGAGTTCTGCTTGCGGTAGCGACGACGACAACGACGAAGGCGACGACGGCGACGGCGACGTCGGGTCGCGGCCGGTCTCGAGCCCGGCACTGCTGGCGCTGCTGCTGATGCTCAAGTCTTTCCTGAAGCACCTGTCCGCGCTGCGGCGAGGGGACCGGTTCTGCGAGGTCTGGCGCCAGGTGCGCATATTTGTTGGTCCGCCGACGCCTTTTGTTAAATTTTCTTTGTCTTTCGGCGTTTCGTGCTCTTTCGGGTACAGGGCATGACCACAGGTTCCAGCCCGCAAATGAAGCAGGACCGCGGGGGAGTTTGGGAGCATGTTTGCCAAGCGTGCTTCGCGGCCGAGTGTAGAGCCCCCCAGTTTTCTTGCAGGCAGCAGCAGCATCATGGGATAGACATGCCGGGTAGAGCGGGGGTTGCGGTAACAGTACAGTTTTGGCCCTCGTGGATGTACATCGCAGAGCACCAACACCATCACCACGCCCTGCAAACGCTCGGTTTACGAGCTTCGCCAACTGCCGACGTTTGCGCGTCTTTCGCAGCTCTGGTGCGGTGCGAGGAGGGCCTACGTCAAGGCACATTGAACACGGGGTGCATGGCTGACCCCCCCCCCCCCCCGCGCGCGATAATTGGGGATAGATGGTGGGCACAAGAGGCCCTAGAGGACGGGGCTAAGTTGTGCAAGAAATTTTTATGTAGTTTGTGGCAGAAACGTAAAGAGCTCCCAAATGTTGAGAGGTGTCTCTAGTAGGGGTAG